GTTACACACTCTCATGACATGCACATCCTTCCTTCAAAGAACTTACCTCATTTTAAAAGTAAGTTAAGCTGAGAGACTACTTCTTAAATATCTGTTATATACAGTATAGATTATATGTAATATCTGATCTATTTTAAAAAACATGATTATTTGTCCAGTAAGTATTTATTGGGAGAGTGAATGAATGAGTGAAGAATAGAGGGGCCACAGATAAACTCAAGTATACATAAAATTTCAAAGCAGAAAAGTGTGTTGTTTTCAATCAGTGAGCAAAAGATGGATCTTTATTTTTTCACCATGATTTTTCTTACTATTGAAGTATAGGTAATATGCATGGTTATATTAGTTTTATGCATACAACATATTGACTGTTACATATTATTACGATATTATTGACTATATTCCCAATACTGGATTTTTCATCTCCATTATTTATTTATTTTATAACTAGAAGTTTGTACCTCTTGATTCTCTTTGTCTATTTTGCCCACCCCCACTTACCTCCCCTCTGGTAACCAGTAGTTTGTTCTCTCTATCTAGAGATGGGTTTGTTTGGGTTTTTTGTTTTTGTTTTTGTTTTTGCTTGCTTCCTGTTTTATGTTTTAGATTCTACATATAAGTGAAATCATATGGTATGTGTCTTTCTCTGTCTTACTTATTTCACTTAGCATAATACCTTCTAGATCCCTTTATGTTGTCACAAATGACAGGGTCTCATTCTTTCTTTATGCCTGAGTAATATCCCATTCATCTATTGATAGACACTTGGGTTGCTTCCATATTTTGGTTATTGTGAATAATGCTGCAATAAACATGTGGGTGCATGTATCTTTTCCAATTAGTGTTTTCATTTTCTTTAGGTAAATGCCCAGTAGTGGAATTATGTACTACATCATATTTCTAATTTTTTGAGGAACTTCCATGCTGTTTTCCATACGGCTCAGACCAATTTACATTCCCACTGCAGGTGCATGAGGGTTCCCTTTTCTCCAACAGTTGTTATTTCTTACCTTTTTGATAATAGCCGTTCTGACTTGCGTGAGAGTATATATCACCGTGGGTTTGATTTGCCTTTTCCTGATTATGAGCGAGAAATGTTTATTCAAGCCTTCATTTTTAATGAGATTATTTGGGATTTTTGGTGTTCAGCTGCGTAAGTTCTTAGCATATTTTAGATATTACCCCCTAATGAGATACTTCATTTGCAAATATCTTTTCTTATTCAAGAGGTTGCCATCTTCTTTTGTTCAAAGTTTCTTTTGCTCTGCAAAAGCTTTTCATTTTGATGTAGTCCCAATAGCTTATTTTTGCCTGTTTCCCTTGCCTCAGGAGACATAGCCATAAATATGTTGCTAAAGCCTATGTCCAAGAGATTACTGCCTATGTTTTCCTTTAAGAATTTTATAATTTTAGGTCCTACATTTAGGCCTTTAATCCATTTTGAGTTTGTTTTTGTGTATGATGTGGGGGGAAAAAAGTGGTCCAGTTTCTTTCTTTTGCATGTAGCTGTCCAGTTTTCCCAGCACCATTTATTGAAAGACTATTTTCCCCATTGGATATTCTTGCCTCCTTTGTCATAGATTAATTGACCATACAAGCATGGGTTTGTTTCCTGGGCTACTTTGTTCCATTGATCTATATGTCTATTCTTGTGCCAGTACCACTGTTTTGATTAGTATAGTCTTGTAGTGTAGTTTGAGATCAGGGAGCATGATACCTGTGGCTCTGTTCTTTTTCAAGATTGCCTTAGTTATTCAGGGTTTTCTGTAATTCAATGCAAACTTTCCCATTGTTTGTCACAGCATTTGATGGAGATTGCACTGAATCTGTAGATTGGACATTTTAACAGATTTTAACAGTATTAACTCTGCCAATCTAGGAGAACAATATATCTTTCCATTTATTTGTGTCATCTTTAATTTCTTTCATCAATGTCTTATAGTTTTCGGAGTATAGGTCATGCACCTCCTTGGTGAAATTTACTCCCAGGTATTTTTTTAAGTAGGCTCCACACCCGGCATGGAGCCCAACACGGGGCTTGAACTGACGATCCTGAAGTCAAGACCTGAGCTCAGATCAAGAGTTGGACATTTAACTGAGCCACCCAGGCATCCCTGCTTGTTTTTTATGCAGTTGTAAATGGGATTGTTTTCTTTTTTTAAAATTTTTTTAATTTTTATTTATTTATGATAGAGAGAGAGAGAGAGAGAGAGAGAGAGAGAGAGAGAGAGGCAGAGACACAGGCAGAAGGAGAAGCAGGCTCCATGCACCGGGAGCCCGATGTGGGATTCGATCCCGGGTCTCCAGGATCGCGCCCTGGGCCGAAGGCAGGCGCCAAACCGCTGCGCCACCCAGGGATCCCGGGATTGTTTTCTTAATTTCTCTTTCTGCTACTACATTGCTGGTGTATAGAAATGCAACAGATCTCTGTTTATTGATTTTGCATACGGCATCTTTGCTGAATTCATTTATTAGTTCCAACAGTCTTTTAGTGGAGTCTGTAGGGTTTTCCACATAGAGTATTATGTCATCTACCAATAGTGAGAGTTTTACTTCTTCTTTATCAATTTGGATGCCTTTCGTTTTTCTTGTTTGATTGCTGTAGCTAAGACTTCCAGTACTATGTTGAATAAAAGTGGTGAGAGTGGACATCCTTGTCTTGCTCCTGATATTAGAGAAAAAGCTTTCAGTTTTCACCATCGTGTATGATATTAGCTGTGGGTTTTTCATATATGGCCTTTATTATGTTGACATATGTTCCCTTTGAACCAACTTTGTTGAGAGTTTTTATCATGAATGGATGTTGTATTTTGTCAAAAGGTTTTTCTGCATCTATTGAGAAAATCATATGATTTTTATCCTTTCTTTTGTTAATATTCTGTATCACATTGATTGATTTATGAATTTTAAATCATCCTTCCATCTCTGGAATAAATCCCACTTGATTATGGTGAATTGTCCTTTAAATGTATTATTGAATGCTATTTGCTAGTATTTTGTTGAGGATTTTTGCATCTGTGTTCATCAGGGACATTGGCCTGTGGTTTCCTTTTTCTATAGTGACTTTGGTTTTGGCATCAGGGTAATGCTGGTCAAAATATGGATCTTTAAATGAATGGTGTTAAAACAACTATTAACTATTTTTTAAAAACTTAAGTACAGGGGATCCCTGGGTGGCGCAGCGGTTTGGTGCCTGCCTTTGGCCCAGGGCGCGATCCTGGAGACCCGGGATCGAATCCCACATCGGGCTCCTGGTGCATGGAGCCTGCTTCTCCCTCTGCCTGTGTCTCTGCCTCTCTCTCTCTCACTGTGTGCCTATCATAAATAAATAAAAATTAAAAAAATATTAAAAAAAAAACTTAAGTACATAAGCTAGAGTCCCAGTATACTCCTGGTGCCAAAATGAATTCCAAATACGTGAAACAAATGAAAAAATAATAATAAAAGCATAAAGGTACTAAAGGAAGGGCACCCTGGGTGGCTCCGCGGTTTAGCGCCACCTGCAGCTCAGAGAGTGATCCCGGGGTCGTGGGATCGAGTCCCACGTCGGGCTCCCTGCGTGGAGCCTGCTTCTCCCTCTGCCTGGGTCTCTGCCTGTCTGTCTGTTTCTCATGAATAAATAAAAAAAAATCTTTAAAAAAATAAAAAGAAAAGAAAACACAAAAGAACATCCTTATAATAAAACAAAATAAGGAAAGTTTGGGATTGTTGTGGGTTTTTTGTAATCTTGATGTATATAACGGCACTGTAAGAAGGTAAGAAAAACCAGACTGTGTAGAGGAACTAACAGATTTCACATAAAATCTAAATTTTACATAAGCCATGTTTTAAAGTACATGTAATGTGTATCAAAAAGTACTAATGTCGGGCAGCCCGGGTGGCTCAGCGGTTTAGCGCCGCCTTCTGCCCAGGGCGTGACCCCGGGGTCTCGGGATCAAGTCCCACGTCCGGCTCCCCGCATGGAGCCTGCTTCTCCCTATGCCTGGGTCTCTGCCTCTCTATCTCTCATAAATAAAATATTTTTTAAAAAAGTATTAATGTCTTCAGTATACAAATGAAATTTTCAAATCAATAAGGAAAATATCACTTTGATAGAGAAAAATGTAATATTGCCATGAAAAAACATTTAATGAAATAAGGAAATCAAATCAGCAATAAACACATGGAAAATGCCTTTCAATGAGCACTGGGTGTTATTCTATATGTTGGCAAATTGAACACCAATAAATAAATTTATAAAAATAAATAAATAAATTTATTTATTAAAAAATAAAGTTCAAATCAAGAAGATTAGCAGTTTGGGGGAGTAAGGGAGTTGGCAAATAGGGACAAGGATGCAAAAAAAAGGAAAATGCCTTTCAGGAAGGAATTTTGGCAGGATCTATCAAAATGGAAAATGCACTTACTCTTTTTTCAACATTCTCATTTTGAATATTAATTCTAAAGATAAATATAGTCTCAGAAGTGAAAAAAATTATACGCCTAGAAATATTGCTGCTGAACTATTTAGCATAGCAAAAATTTTGGAATATCTGAAATGCCCATCAATAGGAAATGGTTCTATAAATTCTGGTAATATATAAAATCAACTATCATTATTATGTATTCATTACACTTGTCATTTTAAGTTTTTTAAAGATTTTATTTATTTATTTACTTGAGAGAGTGGGAGAGAGCACAAGAGCAGGGCAAAGGGCAAAGGGAGAAGCAGATACTTACTGAGCAGGGACCCCGATGTGGGGCTCAATCCCAAGACTCTGGGATCATGATCTGAGCTGAAGGCAGACGCTTAACCGACTGAGCCACCCAGTTGCTCCTACCCTTATCATTTAAAATACAATAAACTTATTTGATTTATCCCTGTCTACCCACAGGTGGTACACTACATGAGATTAAGGACTTCCAATTTTGTCTCTAGCAACTGGCTCATTTCCCAGTAGGCATTCAAAATGTACTTGAGCAAATGAATGAATGAATGAGGCCTTCCTTTATCTTAACAGGCTGGAAGTGATGGGGAGAGTATTGGAAACTGTCCCTTTTGCCAACGCCTCTTTATGATCCTCTGGCTTAAAGGAGTTAAATTCAATGTGACTACTGTTGACATGACCAGGTAAGAGGACATGTTTCATTCAGAAGATTGAAATCAGTAGACAGCAATACAATGTTTGTATGACATGTACTTTATCTAGAAGCCTAACTCTGCTTATTCTCAATAATCGTAGAAAGCCTGAAGAGCTGAAGGACTTAGCCCCAGGTACCAATCCTCCCTTCCTGGTGTATAACAAGGAGTTGAAAACGGACTTCATTAAAATTGAGGAGTTTCTAGAGCAGACACTGGCTCCTCCAAGGTACAGCATTATACATGATGTTATTTTTCTTGAGAAAATCTATTTTATTGCCCTATTATATTGCAGATTGAAGATTCTTACTTCTAGACATCTCTTTTTCACTGTTCAACCTCTTTTGCTATTTTTCTAGAAATGTTTGCAGAGATCCCCATGATTACATGACTACAAAACTGTACTACACAATTACTTATTTAATATATGTAAATCTATTAAAACTTTATGAGATGTAGGTTGTATATTAGTAAAGGGCAAAAGATAGATTTGGAGACCTGGAAAAGGCAGGGAATTTCAGCCATAATAAAGTTTGGGGGCACTTATACTGATAGGATTTAAACTCATTTTATTGTAGAGCACTCACAAGATCTTCAATTTTGAAATAGCCTTTGATTCAGTCTGATTTCTAAACTTGCAAGTTGAGAAATATAATATCTATTATGCATAAACTTTCCCCTCCAACTTCAAAGACATGAAGACACTAGATGTAACACTTCAAAGTATTTTTAAGAGATCTTATTTATTTTAGAGAGAGAGTATGCATGCAGGGGGAGGGGCAGAGAGAGGGGAGAGAGAGAATCCCAAGTAGACTCCATGCTCAGCATGAAGCCCCACCAAGGGCTTGATCTCACAATCCTGAGATCATGACCTGAGCTGAAATCAAAAGTTGGATGTTTCTCTGATTGGGCCACCCAGGCACCCCCAAAGTATTTTTTATATTCCTTATGCTGTGCCTTTTATTTCCATGACTTATTCATCCATAACTGGAAGCCTATATCTCCCACTCCCCTTCACCCATTTTCACCCATTCCCAACCCCCTCTCCTCCAACGACATCAGTTTGTATTTATAGGTCTGTTTCTGGAGGCATCACAATTCCAGACTTCATGCTATTTCACAAAGCTGTAGTGATCAAGACAGTATGGTACTGGTACAAAATGATGGGTATTAAGGAGGGGATGTTATGATGAGCACTGGATGATACATGTAAGTGATGAATCACTAAGTTTTACTCCCGAAGCCAATATTACACTATATGTTAACTAACTAGACTTTAAATGAAAATCTTAAAAAAGGAAATTTGAAAACTCAAAAAAAAAAAAAAAGACACATAGAGACACCTGGGTGGCTCAGTGGTTGAGTGTCTTCCTTCGGCTCGGGGCATGATCCTGGGATCCTGGGATCCAGTCCACATTGGTTCCCACAGGGAGCCTGCTTCTCCCTAGTCTCTGCCTCTCTCTGTCTCTCATGAACAAGTAAACAAAAGCTTTAAAAAATAGACACATAGATAAAAAGAACAATAGAAAGCCCAGGAATGAACCCACGACTATACAGCCAATTAATCTTTGACAAAGTAGGAAAGAATATACAATGGGAAAAAGATTATCTCTTCAACACATGGTGCTGGGAAACCTGGACAGCCAAAAGCATAAGAATCAAATTGGGCCACTTTCTTATACCATAGACAAAAATATACTAAAATTGGCAGAAATACCTAATTATGAGACAAGAAACAATTAAAATCCTAGGACACAGGCAGTAACCTCTCTGACATCAGACAAAGCAACTTCTTCCTAGATATGTCTCCTGAGGCAAGAGAAACAAAAGCGAAAATAAACTATTGGGACTTCATCAAAATAAAATGCTTTTGCACAGTGAAGGAAACAATCAACAAAACTGAAAGGTACTTGCAGAATGGGAGGAGATATTTGCAAATGACATATCTGATAAAGGATTAGTACTCAAAAAATTAAGACGTTATAAAACCAAACACCCCAAAAAACAAATAATCCAGCTTAATTATGGGCAGAAGACATGAACAGACATTTCTCCAAAGAAGACATCCAGATAGCCAGACACATGAAAAGATGTTCAATATCACTCATCATCAGGGAAATAGAAATCAAAACCACAGTAAGATATCCCCTCACACCTACCAGAGGGGCTAAATTAACAACACAGGAAACAACAGGTGTTGGCCAGGATGCAGAGAAAGGGGAACCCTATTGCACTGTTAGTAGGAATGTCAGTAGATGAGCCACTCTGGAAAACAGCATGAAGGCTCTTCAAAAAGTCCAGAATACGGGAATTCCTGGGTGGCTCAGCGGTTTAGCTCCTGCTTTCAGCCCAGGGTGTGATCCTGGAGTCCCGGGATCAAGTCCTGCATCAGGCTCCCTGCATGGGGCCTGCTTCTCCTCCCTCTGCCTGTGTCTCTGCTTCTCTCTCTCTCTGTCTCTCATGAATAAATAAATAAAATAAAATCGCTTAAGTGATTTTATGTTATGTGAATTTTATCTCAAATTTTTAAAAAAGATTAGGTTTCTAATTGAAATTGCACTGAATTTATATTACTATTTGAAGAAATTTCATTTTATGATACAAATTATTCCCATCAGAAACACGATCTGTGTGTTTGTTTGGGGACCATCTTATTATTTTTATTGAGATAAAATTGTCATATAACATTGTGTAAGTTCAAGGTGTACAACCATGATCTGGTATTTATATATTGTAATATGATTACCACTGTAGTGTAAGCGAATATCTCTATCACATTACATAATCATTATTTCTTTTTTTTTGGTGAGAACAATTAAGATTTTCTCTTAGCAACTTTGCAGTCTGTAATAGAGTCTTGTTGAATATAATCACTATGCTGTGCTTATTTATCTACTAGTTGCAAGTTTTTAACATTTAAACAACATCTCTGCAATCCTCCCACCAAGGTGCCTCTAGTAACTATTATTTTGCTTTTTAGATTCCACATATAAGTGAGATCATAAAGTATTTGTCTTTCTCTGCCTGACTTATCTCACTTAACATAATGTCCTCAAGGTCCATTCATGTCACAAATGGCAGACTTTCCTTCTTTTTATGGATTAACAATATTCCATGGTATATAAGCACCACATCTCCTTTACCCGTTCATCCACTGATTCACATTAGGTTATCAACCTAAGTGCCAGTCTTATGTTCTTTGATAAGATTTTGCCTGGTTTTGTTTTTTTTCATATTGGTTCTATACCTTTTCTATTAAGCTATTTCTAAATATTTAATACTTTTGGGACACCCAGGTGGCTCCATCAGTTCAGCACCTGCCTTCGGCTCATGTCATGATCCCAGAGTCCTGGGACCCAGCCCTATGTTGGGCTTTCTGCTCAGTGGAGAGTCTGCTTCTCCCTCTGTCTCTCCTCCACCTCACTCATGCTCTCTCACTCTCTCTCTCACTCTCAACTAACTAAATAAAATCTTTTAAAATTAGATCAATAAAGAAATATTTAATACTTTTATCACTATTGTAAATGGAATATGCTACTAATATCCATTTCTTTTTTAAAGATTTTATTTATTTATTCATGAAAGACAGAGAGAGAGAGAGGCAGAGACCCAGTCAGAGGGAGAAGCAGGCTCCACACAGGGAGCCCGACGCGGGACTCGATCCCGGGTCTCCAGGACCGTGCCCTGGGCCGAAGGCAGGCGCTAAACCGCTGAGCCGCTGGGCCGTCCAGGGATTCCTCTAATATCCATTTCTATCCGGTTATTGCTAGCATAGATAACTTATTTTTTTAAAGTTTGATTTGTATTAGCCACCTTGCCAAAATATATCATTTATTCTAGTAATTTTTCCTATATTTTCTTGGGTTTTCTAAGTATACAATTATATTGTTGCTTTTCTTCCAGTAATTGTACTAGTGCTTTATGTTGTCTTTCTCAACTTGCTAGGACCTCGAAAACAATATCTACTATAAAAGCAATTATGAGTGTCTGTCTTGTTCCTAAATTTAATGTAAATGGTTCTAAAGTCATCATTTAGAATGTTTGGGGGTTTTTTTTGTTTTGTTTTGTTTTTGTTTTGCTTTTTTGTCTCACTTGTTAGTGCATTCAGCACAATGTTGGAGAGGAGTAGTGATGATGATCAATCTCATCCTGTACTCATTTTAAGGGAAATAGCATTAACATATCATCATTTAATATGGTGCTTACTGAAAGCTTTTGATGGGTGCATTTTATCAAGTTAAGGAAATTAATTAGTTTAACCATTCAACAAATATTTATTGAATATTTAGTAAGTGTCAAATACTATTCTAGGCACTTAGGACACATCAGTGATTAAACCAAGCAAAAATACTGTGCCCTAGTACACCTTACATTCTAGATGAGGAAGACAATAAATAAGCAAGATTAAAAAGCAAAACATAAAGTACTTTAAATGATGATAAATAGTAAGAAAAAAACAAAGCAAGGGGGGAACTAGCAAGTCTTAAGGACAGAAGAAAGTTTGCAATGTTAGGGTGGGTAGAGGAAGGCCTCACTTACGAAGGGATATTAAAACAAGATCTGAAAGAAGAGGAGGAACAGGTCATGTGGATATATGAAGAAAATCACTCCATTTAAGGGTAAATGAAGTGAAAATGCTTTGGGGTGGGAGCTTGTCAGGCCTATTTGAAGAACACTAAGGAGATAAGTGGGGAAGAGGGGGAGGAAATGAGAGCAGAGCGGTAAGACAGGGTCAGATCACATCACTCCTCATAGCCTACTGCGAGGACTTGGGGTCCGAGTCTGATGAGATGAGACATTGCGGGGTACTAAGTAGGGAAGAGACATGATACAACTTCTCTTTTAACATGACTGCTCTGGCGGCAAGTACAAAATAGTCTAGGAGTGTGGGGGACAAGAAGCTGTTGCAGTAGTATAAGCTTTGGACCAGGCAGGGGGCAGTAGATGCGGAGAGAAATGGATAGATTCTGGGTACATTTTGGGGTCTGTGTGTTGGTTTTCTGTTCAAATTTTTAATTTAAATTCTAGTTAGTTAACATACAGTGCAATATTGGTTTCAGGAGTAGAATTCAGCGATTCATCATTTACATACAACACCCAGCGCTCACCCAGTATCCTCCTTAATGCCCATCACCCATCTAGCCCACCCCCCACCCACTTCCCCCGGGTACATTTTGAAAGGTAAGCGGGCTGGAATTGCTAATGGATCAAATATGGGGATGGAGAGCAGAAAGGAATCAAGGAAGATGACTGTTTGACCTGACCATTTCTAGTGGCTGGTGGGTTTGTTTTTGTTTTTTTTTTTTTTTTTTTTTTTTTTTTTTTTTTAGAATGAGAATTGAGGGGATCCCTGGGTGGCGCAGCGGTTTGGCGCCTGCCTTTGGCCCAGGGCGCGATCCTGGAGACCCGGGATCGAGTCCCACGTCGGGCTCCCGGTGCATGGAGCCTGCTTCTCCCACTGCCTGTGTCTCTGCCTCTCTCTCTCTCTCTCTCTCTCTCTCTCTCTCTCTCTCTCTCTATCATAAATAAATAAAAAAAATTTAAAAAAAGACTTAATGGCATTTAAAAAAAAAGAATGAGAATTGATTTTCATTCAATACTTTTCCTGCATCAATTCATGATCGTATGATCTTATTCAATTTCTTAATGTGAGGAATTACACTATTACATCATTTGATTTCATTATGCTAAATCAAGTTTGTATTAAGGAGAGGCCAGCTTGGCTACCTTTTTCCATCCTCTCTATCCTGTTTATTCCTTCATTTTTATGTAAGTTACAATAATTTAAAACCATGTTTTCCTACCACTTATCTTTGAAATTGTATTAGCACCAATATATATCCTGCCAAATAGGCTTTCAGGAGCAAATGCAGGTGACCTAACTACCATTGAAACCATTGTTTCTACATACAAGTTAATGAGCTTTGAATTCTCCACAACCAGTTTCCCGGTAAACTTTAGAAACTTCAGTATTCTGATATTGAGAAAAAATACATATTTCCAATGAGAGGTTTGCAGGACCTTTGGTTTCCAGCACAATTTTCCAAAACCTCCACTCTGAGCAGAGCGTAAGCTAGGACACTTGGTCTCTGATTTGTTATGTGTGAATAATCATGGAGTGATGTTTCTTTTTAAGGTATCCTCACCTGAGTCCCAAGAACAAGGAGTCCTTTGATGTGGGCTGTAACCTCTTTGCCAAGTTTTCTGCATACATTAAGAATACGCAGAAAGAAGCAAATAAGAGTGAGATACTTTTGTTTAAATTTCTGTTTCTCTCACACATTTGCTGACACTCACAGTCTCAGGTAAAATAGGATTTTCCTGAATACATAGTATGTTGGGGAATACACTCTCTGATTCTTTCTCCTCTCCACTGAAATTCCTTTGCATGAGGTCTTATTAAATTTAGAAGCCAAGATTCAATAGGGCAATAACTAAGCTCAATTAGAGCTCTGACATGCCAGGAGTGAACTAACTGCAGGACTCTATTTTTTAGCCTCCCAACTTTCTGGTTTCTGAAACTATAGCATCTACCCTCGCCCACAAACATTCCTGAATAGGTCCACTGTCTTCTGATTCATGAGGGCTATTAGTCTCAGATTCTACTTTCTGCCTCTTCTGTGTTTAACAATAACATAAATGACTTTTTCTTTCTTTGACTCTCCTCCCAATGCACCTCCTCAAGAAAAGTCCAAAAATATTTTTACTCATCATTTGATTCAACATCTGACCCTGTCTTATCAGTGGGTAGTGGAGCATTCTAGTTAACTATTTCGATTTTAAAGGGCCAGTGTATGTGGTTAGAGATGTCTACATGTGTGAAAAGCAGACTAAATATTTATTGGTAACCCTATGACTTCTTTATCTCAGATTTTGAAAAATCTCTGCTCAGAGAATTTAAACGTCTGGATGACTATTTAAACACCCCGCTTCTGGATGAAATTGATCCAGACAGTGCCGAGGAACTCACAGTTTCCAGAAGATTGTTCTTGGATGGGGATCAGCTGACACTGGCTGACTGCAGCTTGTTACCCAAACTGAACATTATTAAAGTAAGTCTTTGTAGGGCTAACTGAATGGTCTGGGAGGGGTTTTGGAGTCGCCAGCATGAAACACAGTGACTGTTTAGCGTGAGATTGTTATATGATAGCTTTGTCATCATCATTATGCATAGTGTACATGTCTTTTTTCTCCTCAGAGGAAAAATCAGTAATGATCTTCTCTGGGAATCATAAAAACTTCTTGTTTCTTTCTTCCCAAATTACAAGGTGTTTTCCACTGTCTTCTCTATAAAACAAGGATAATATTACCCATTTCATGGAATTGTGGAGAAAATTTAATTAAGGCATGTAAAATGCTTAGAACAGTATCTGGATCTTAGCAAATGATAATGTGACCTAGTAATAATTTTATGATGGTTTAGTCATTGATTTAATAAATCCTTATTGAACAGAACTTATTCTGTCTCAGATCCTATGCCAGACACACAGAATACATGAAGAAATAAGACAGAGTTGGGACCCTGAGCAAACTCTTAGTCTAGTGGAGAAATATTTGCACTTTTTCTGTGCTTTCTTCTTCTAAACATATTAGTAATTAAATACAGCATAAATATAAATGTGATCACACATATCGTTTTGTCTACATTTGTAAACAAAACATTAAAATAGTAAGTCCGAGATTCTTTAGGTTTATTTTTGTGTAGATAACACGTCCTTAATGATCTTGACTTTTGAGATATGTTTCTATATACTAGGCATGTCATTGATGCGTTTTACTATGAAGTGTTTTTTCCTTTTTTTCCCCAAAACCTTAGGTTGCTGCCAAGAAATACCGTGACTTTGACATTCCAGCAGAATTCTCAGGAGTCTGGCGCTATCTTCACAATGCCTATGCCCGTGAAGAATTTACCCACACATGTCCTGAAGACAAAGAAATTGAAAATACCTATGCAAGTGTGGCTAAACAGAAGAGTTAGGACAGCTCTTTTAGTAGAAAAATCTCTCCTTTCACTTGTTATCATATTATAAAGGCTTTTGGAAATAAGAATATGGAAAATACTGTTTCCTCTACCTTATGAAAAGAACGCTGTGTATTCTGTATCAAATCAGTCCAAAGTATCTTCTCACTGCGTATTTTAAAGTTCTTTGTATACTCAATTAATCTTTATTCCCATGGCATAACCACTGCAATCTTAAATCACATGGAAAGCATCAAGATCTTTTGCTATTTAATTGAATTATTACAATGCATTGTGTGTAAGCTCAACAGATGGCCAAAGTTACAAAAGACATATTGCTCATAAACTGCTCTTTATAAACACTTCCATCTAAATCATTAAAACAATTTTATATTTTTGTTAGTTTAATACATGAGTGAATTTATTTCTGATATGAATAATAAAATCAAAGAGTAAGTATATCAGAGAGGCAAATCCTAAAAGAATAATTTTAAAAATCCGCTCTGAAAAGAGATCAAGACCAACGGGTATTCGAATGGCATTGAACACCTAGACATATGACTGCCTCATAGTCAGAGGTGAGAATACGACCTTCATGACCAGAGTATATTGTTAAATAAGCAGGTATTCATTAAATATAACATAATAGTAATTTTTAAAAGATCAGAAACAAATATATGGTAAAGTTGCAAAGTAAATTGGATCTATTATTCCACAGAAATAAGAAGGAAACTAAGAAATTTGACTGACCAGAAGGTCTTATTCCTGTCCATAGAAAGATAAGCACGCTATCCTTAAAGAATAATGACAAAGATTTGTATAGAATTTAAAATGTTCTATTACTATATGTACTCAAATTTACATGTTAAAATGAAATCACTCAGATCTGAAACTAAAGCTGGACTTAACTTGGTCCTTCAAAGGAGAAACAAAGTTCAGCCCCAAAAACAGAAGATACTGGGCAGCCCGGGAGGCTCAGCGGTTTAGCGCCACCTTCAGCCCAGGGCGTGATCCTGGAGACCCGGGATCGAGTCCCACATCGGGCTCCCTGCGTGGAGCCTGCTTCTCCCTCTGCCTGGGTCTCTGCCTCTCTTCTCTCTCTCTCTCTCTCTCTCTCTCTCTCTCTCTCTCTCTCTCTCTCTCATAAATAAATAAAATATTTTTTTAAAAAAGAAGATACCATAGATCAATGGAACAGAATGAAAAAACCAGAAATAGGAGAAGGACAAACATTATATGGTCTCATTCATTTGGGAAACATAAAAAAAAGTGAAAGGGAATAAAGGGGAAAGGAGAAAAAATGAGTGGGAAATATCAGAAAGGGAGACAGAACATGAGAGACCCCTGACTCTGGGAGACGAACTAGGGGTGGTGGAAGGGGAGGTGGGCGGGGGTGGGGGTGAGGGGGTGACGGGCACTGAGGGGGTACTTGACGGGATGAGCACTGGGTGTTATCCTGTATGTTGGCAAATTGAACTCCAATAAAAAATAAATTTTAAAAATCCAGAAATAAGCCCACAACTACATGGTCAATTAATCTTTCCAAGCTGGTAAGAATATCCTATGGGGAAAAGTCTCTTCAACAAACGTTGGGAAAATTGGACAGCCACATGCAAAAGAATGAAACTGGACCACTTTTTACGTCATATACAAAAAGAAATTAAAATGGGTTAAAGGCCAAAATGTGAGACCTGAAACCATCAAAATCCTAGAGGAGAAAACAGGCAGTAACCTCTTTGACATCAGCCATAGCAACTTCTTTCTAGATACATTTCCTGAGGCAAGGAAAACAAAAGGGAAAATTAACTATTGGGACTTCATCAAGATAAAAACCTTCTGCACAGCAAAGGAAACAGTCAACAAAACTAAAAGGCAGCCTTCAGAATGGGAAAAGATATTTGCAAACATCAGATAAAAGGTTAGTATACAAAAAATATAAAGAACTGATACAGGACACCTGAGTGGCTCAGTGACTGAGTGTCTGTCTGCCTTTGGCTCAGGTCGTGATCCCGGCGTCCTGGGATCCAGTCCGCATCTGACTCCCCGCAGGAAGCCTGCTTGTCCCTCTGCCTGTGTCTCCGTGTCTCTCATGAATAAATAAATAAATAAAATCTTTTTAAAAAAAGAACTGGGGACGCCTGGTGGCTCAGCGGTTAGGCATCTGCCTTCGGCCCAGGGCGTGATCCTGGGGTCTCGGGATTGAGTCCCAGGTCGGGCGCCCTGCATGGAGCCTGCCTCTCCCTCTGCCTGTGTCTCTGCCTCTCTCTCTCTGTGTGTGTCTCTCATGAATAAATAAGTTAAATCTTTTTTAAAAAGGATAAAAAAAAGAACTGATACAACTCAACACCCAAAAACACAAATAATCCAGTTAAGAAATGAGCAGAGGACTTGAATAGACATTTTTCCCAAGAAGCCATCCAGATGGCTGACACACACATGAAAAGATGCTCCGCATCACTCATCATCGGGGAAATACAAATCAAAACTACAATGAGATATCTCCTCACACCTGTCAGAATGGCTAAAATAAAAAACAAGAAACAATGTGTTGGGGAGGATATGGAGAAAAAAGGCTCTTGCACTGTTGGTGGGAAAGCAAAGTCTTGTAGCCACTGTGGAAAACAGTATGGAGGGGCCTCAGAAAGTTGAAAATAGAGCTACCTAGAATCCAGCAATTGCACTACTGGGTATATACCCAAAGGATACAAAATAGAAATTCAAGGGGACACGTGCACCCCGATGTTTATAGCAGCATTGTCAACAATAGCCAAGTTATGGAAAGAGCCCCAATGTCATCAACTGATAAATGGATAAAGAAGATGTGCCACACACACACACACACACACACACACACACAGAGTGCACAGGAATATTACTCAGCCATGATAAAAAAAATAAGATCTTGCCATTTGCAATGACATGGAGGCAGCTAGAGAGTATAATGCTAGGTGACATAAGTCAGAGAAAGACAAATACCATATGATTTCACTCATATGCGGAATTCAAGGAGCAAAACAAAAGATCAACGGGTGAAAAAGAGAGAGGCAAAGCAAGAAACAGACTCTTCTTTATAGAGAACACACTAATGGTTACCAGAGGGGAGGAGGGGGAGGGGTGGGAGAAAGAGGTGATGAGGATGAAGGAGGGCACTAGCTGTGATGAACATCAGGTGATGTATGGAGGTGTGGAATCACTATATCAGACACCTGAAACTAACGGCACACTCTGTTAACTAGAATTAAAATGAAAACCTAAAACAAAGGCTGCTATTTATAAGAAAGAAGGTAAGTGTACACTACCCAGTGTCTGAGGGTAGATTTTATTTTATACAAGTTACCACCTAAGACCACCTCCAAGGTCTGCTTTGTTATCAGCAAAGGTGAGAATGATACCTTGTGAGCTCAGTAAAGTAGGGGATGGTGCATAGTGTTTTTCTAAGTTAGGAATCTTTTTCTTTAATATTTTATTTATTTATTCATGAGAGACACACAGAGAGAGGCAGAGACACAGGCAGAGGGAGAAGCAGGCTCCCTGAGGGGAGCCCGATGTGGGACTCGATCCCAGGATCCCATGATCATGACCTGAGCAGAAGGCGGCGCTAAACCACTGAGCCACCTGGGCTGCCCAGGAAACTTCTTAAAAAGAGTAATTAGACTTTCAGGTTGACAAAGACAATGGTGGCCTCCTTGGTTTGTGTCTTCCAGTGTTTCTTCCAAAATCAATGCAAATAAAAAAAATTCTAAATGGCACTAAAACTACATGGGAAGCATAACTGAAAGCAGAAAAATCCCCAAACATCAATACAACTCGAAGTCTAAGAAAATCCCCGGAAGTACTCTCTTACATTCATGCTGCATCACAAACTTCTGTAGTGAGGAAGGACAGGCTGATAAAAACTAGGAAATAAGAGAGTTAGTCACGGGCCGAGGGTTAATCTAAAATCATCGAAAGAAACAGTAAGTCTAACTCAAGTATAAAAATATGTTTTAGGGGATCCCTGGGTGGCGCAGCGGTTGAGCACCTGCGTTTAGCCCAGGGTGTGATCCTGGAGACCCGGGATCGAGTCCCGCGTCGGGCTCCCTGCATGGAGCCTGCTTCTCCCTCTGCCTGTGTCTCTGCCTCTCTCTCTGTGTTTCTCATGAATAAATAGATAAAATATTTTTAAAAATGTTTTAAAACATCCTGGGATGCCAGAACACAGAGTACAAGGAAGTAACTTATTAGTATGCACAATCTGAAGTGGCGCTCTTCAAAAGGCAGGGCTTCTAGGGAAGAACTACAAGACATTTGAAAGAAGTGAAAAGTAACTTTTGGTAAATCTATAGAATTATTATCAAAAAAAGTCAGAAAACAAGATTCAACATACCTCAACTGGTATCTCCTTATAGAAAACAACTGTGAAGCAGAAAAAAAAAAATCCTGTAAGACAACATCCCAAAGTGAATTAAATACATGCAGGCAAATATTTTGGGGTATGAAAAACATTAGCTGGATTCAGACATTCAAAAAAATCAAGAAAAAAAACGGAGAGAAATTAGATAAAACTAGGAAATAAATGGAAGTAAGAGACAAAATTATCTCAGAAGTGAAGACAAAGTGAAGTGGGTGGCTCAGCGGTTTAGTGCTGCCTTCGGCCCGGGGCATGATCCTGGAGACCCTGAATCGAGTACCGCACCCGGGCTCCCTGCGTGGAGCCTGCTTCTCCCTCTGCCTCTGTCTCTACCTCTCTCTCTCTCTCCTCTGTGTCTCTCATGAATAAATAAACAAAATCTTTCTTAAAAAAGTGAAGCTAAGTTAAAAGGTGGCAAAGGGAAAAGAGACTCAAGAAAGTTTAATAAGGTGCATTGAAAAAGTCAGAAAAATAACTGAGAGAAGGAAAATAAAGAAGAAAGTAAAAAGGATCAGAAAGAAATTGGTAAATTGAAAAAGAAGCAAAGGAATAGCAGTGTTTAATTAGAATTACCGAGGAAGAAAAACAAAACAATGTAACAGAGCTAATATTTAAAATATTTAAACCTATAATCCAAGAAAAATTTTCCAAAGTGAAAGGCTTTAGTCTACACATTGAAAGGTCCACTGGTTTTCTGGGCGGGGGGGGAACCAAAATGATCAACTCCAAGACATATCCTAGTAAAATTATTAGGCATAAGAGATAAAGAAAATTTATCCTCACAGCCTCTAGGCAAAAAGGTGAAACAATTCATGAAGGGGAATTAATTAATCTGAATCAGGCTTTCCAAAAACAACATATAAGGCAAGGCCCTGAAACAACATTTTCAAGAAATTCGAAGAAAAAAGTGTGAACGAAGGATTTCATATTCAGTGAAGCTAGTTTCAAATATCAAGGTCATAGAAAAAGAAAAAATTAAACCATAACTTGAAAAATTCTGTACCATTGGGCCTACAAA